CATCTTTTTAGGTTAACAAAAGGAGGAAACATCCTGTACAAACATATTTTCCCTTTTTGTGATCCAGCCCACCAAGTCATTGAATGGACTACGTAACAGCTTCTATCTCCTGATTAGAAAGGGGAAATGGATCAGGAAATACACCATCTGAGTTCCCCCACATTCAATGATTTAAATAACTGCACACAAATACAGATTTATTTACAGTCTAAAAATCTCTCTGGCTACCCAAGAACTGGAATGGGAAAAAGCCCATTTATTTCCCATTTGTGAGTTCACACAAAAGAAACAACAATCTAATGCCAACTTTAAGTTAAGATAACAAGCCATTTCTGTTTCATTTACTTAGGGAATAATTGTTTCTAATGTACTTATTTACATAAATAGCAGTAATAAAATAGTCTGCATATTCTGTTGCTCAGCTCTGTAGAAGTGATTAAGAATAAATTTTCATGAACTTGGCCAACATAGCAGTAATTGTTGTCTAATTTATATTTGCAAATAGCAAAGCCGGAGGCAAATTTCCATGTCTTATGCCTACGAGACACATTCAAGCATTATCACTTTCTTAATAGGTGAAATAGATTTTCATCATTAGGCCATTTTATGTAGGAACAAGAATGAAGCATGTGAATCTAATCTTGTCTACAGTAGTTATCCCAGATTCTACTGAACAGTGAGAGTTGTTTCTTATCATTATGTTCTGCTTCCAGGCTTCCTGAAGGTATCTTGCAGACTGCAGTGAGAAACTAAGATAGTAAACTAGATACAGATCTTTGGTTTCATCTTCTAGGGTTTTTCTTATGATTAAAAAAATGCAATGTATATCCAACTATTCGGGAATAACCTTGCTGAATTCAAAATGATTTATTATGAGTGGACATCCACAGGATTGTACCGTAAAGGTTTTTACATCAGTTTTCTATTGGAAGCTAATGAAAAGATCCAGAGCACTGATCCAACTGGCTCAGTATTTTCCATGCAGACTACCAATGTGGTTCTGTAGAGAGAACTTCTTTTCAAGTCTATCTGAAGACGTCTGGTACTGTATTAGGTTCTCATTCCCATTCATAACAAGTCTGAGTTCTACCACTCAAAAAGACAGTCCTGCAGTGTTTGCTACTCTTCCATTCAACTCAAAACTCAGACTTCAAATTGAGTTTCATGTGGTTATCTGGTTGAAAATAACCTGATCTGAGGAAGTTCATAATTCACTGTTACAAAAACAAGGACACCGGAAATGGGGAATCAAAAAATATCAATGTTTCTTGGCTTCCTTTCCCTTTACACTTCAACAGGGCACCCCAAATCACTCCTCCCCACAGATTGCAGAAGAAAAAAATGCCACTGTTCCACTACTGTCAAGAAAAGTCAACAGGTTCAGTTATGTTTTCCCAAGAGCTCCTTGTTCCTGAAATATTTTACTTGGTCAGTAATACTGCATTCAATAGCTAATTAGGTTTGTGTTAAATTCTTATACAAACACATCTACAACATTTCCCCTTATACAATGAAGCGAGATCTTCATGTTTTACAAACAAATTATTCTCTGGATTGAAAGAATTATTTCTCTATTTGGAAGTAAATTCAAGGATTAGCTATGGAATTTTTACAAAATGAAAATTTTTACCTGAAGTGGGCTACTTGATGATCTAGATCTATGAAATGTGAATAATTTATGATTGTTGTCTTCTTCTTCTGGTGTAGGCATCTTTAAATGTGAACTGGTCAGCAGATTCTGGAAAAAAAGACCCACAATAAAATCTTAACAGTGTAAGAATGATATTTAATACTGAATATGATTGTTTGGTTATCTCTCCCCACCCTCCTTTCCACCCTATCACATTGCATTTAAATAATATTTGAATTTTGGAGTATTCAAATATTGGAATACTCTGAAAAAATAAAACAGATAGCAGATAAAATTAGAAGGACTTTAAAAGACTTTTTTTGTAAGGGACAGTACTGCATACAGGTAGTTCTTGAGTTATGATGGAACCCGGGACTAGAATTCCCAGCATTAAGCAATGCAATCATAAAACGTGATGTCAAATGATTGTATTGCTTAGGGATGGCAATCCTGGTAGTTTTAACTTCACAACTGCACAGGTCATCAAGGAACGAACTCACATGACCATAAAGGGAAGAGATGGGAGCTCCAGGTAAGCCAGCTGGTTGGCAAAAGCTTACCAGGTACTATAAAGTATGGGTGGATACTATAGATCAGGGGTGTCAAACTGGTGGCCCACGGGTTGGATGTGTCACGTGCAGGCCATGCCCGCCCCCAGCTCGACGAATGGGAAAAAATGATGCAAAACATCATGTGGCAGTAACATGATGCGGCGAGTTTAACACCTGTGCTATAGATTATGAGGAAATGGGTGAGAAAGTGTCAACTTGCAATCTCCCACTGGCTTCTCCACTGACCTAACTTGTGGGAAGCTAGCAGGGAAGATCGCAAATGGTGATCAGTGTGAACTGGTTGCCAAGTGCTCGAAGTGTGGTCATATCAGTGGTGAAATGTAAAATTTGTTACTACCAGTTCTGTGGGCGTGGCTTGGTGTGTGGGGGGTAATGTGACTGAGTGGGCGTGGCCAACTTTTTTTTTTTTTTTTTTTTACTTTTAAAACCATTTTTTCTATAACCTCTTCGGCCGAAGAGATTGTAAAAAAATGCTTTAAAAAGCCTCTGACGATCCCAGCTGAGCTGCACGATCATCAGAGGCTTTTTTTAAAAAAACTTTTAAAAGCATTTTTCAGCCAAAGAGGTTGTAGAAAAAATGCTTAAAAAAAAAAAAGCCTCTGATGATCGCGCTGCTCAGCTGGGCATGGGGGGAGGGGCAAGGGATTTTTGCTACCCGTTCTTCTCCGAACCACCCGCCGCCCTCGCTACCGGATCAAGTGATCCGGTCCGAACTGGGAGCATTTCACCCCTGGGTCATGTGACTACGGGGATACTGTGATATTTGCAACTTTGCAGACTGGGTCCCAAGTCCCCCTTGTTCAGTGCTGTTGTAACTCTGAACAGTCACTGAACAAGTGGACGATCTGCACAGTCCTCCAAATTGTCACAATCTTTATCTGAAAGAACTTTTTAAAGAACTTCAAGTAAATGTCTGAACTGACATTATGCTGATGTTATACAATCAAACCAAGTCACATTAACGAAGTGGCTACTAAATAATGCAGGACCAAAAGCTGGCAGTTAAGCAGAGAAGGAAATTATCATGAAGTAGCTACTGAGAAAGGTAACAGCTACGAGTAAACTAGTAGGGAAAAGGGAAAAAATTTTTTAGGAGGAGTGCCCAGATATGGGGTATTCTTTTCTTATTTTGGCCTTGGACCAATCAAGGTTGCACAAACAAACACCACAACAAAAAACACCCCTAGCCCAAGATGTTGAGATGTAGGACAGTAATACATACAGGAACGTCTTCTGCTGATGATGCATATGGGAAAAGCTGTGCGTTTAGCCCTTCCCCTTCCCAACTATTTGAGCAAAGGAAGTTTTCTGCTTTCCCTGCTGGAGAATCCACCTGCAGGCAGGAACAAAAGCCATATTAAAATAAGAGTTGATTGACACATTCTGTCTTGCTTAACAGCAAGTGCGTTTTGACATAAGCTTTGGCACCAAACCTAATTCAGTCAGCATTCAATGTCCTGAGCTGCTCCACACAACAGAGAAAGCGAAGTGTTTCGAGTTTGAAAAAGCTGTTTTTGGATTTCACCACTGCTCCAGCATCCTGGGTTTGCAACATCTTGCAGTCGCCTCTAGGCGAGATCAGCAGCATACACCTTTAATAAATAAATACCTTTTTTACAAATAGCTTGTAGTTTCAACATATTTTAGGAAGCACCCAGTCCTGTCAGGGAGAAGGAACCAAGTGTAAAGTTAATTTGGAGTTTCTGCACAATCACAAAAAGCTAGGGCCAAGCCCTCCTAAATTCCTTGGAACCTTATCTAATTGTTCCTAAGAACTGGCTGCCGGATTGGGAGATACCTGAACAGGTAGACCTTGACTTACAACAGTTTGTCTGCTGCTGACCATTCAAAGTTAGAATGGCACTGAAAAAGGTGACTTATGATCGTTATTCACACTTCATCATCTTCTTTTAATGACCTCATAATCCCTTGCGGGGTGGAGTCTGGCCAACTGAATGGAGCTAGCAGAGTGTTTTAATGGCCGAATGCCTTTCCTGTCGCCGATGAGGAGTTTTGTTCAGCAGATATATTCTCAGTGTGTCCAGAGAGAGAAATATCTGCCTCTACCTAGGATCGAACTCACAGCCTCCTGATTGCAAGGGGAGCTCCACCTCTAGGTCACCACACCACTCTATCGTTTTTCACACTTACACTCTCTAAATTTGTCTATTACATAAATGAATACAGGTATTCCCCAACTTACTACAGTTTATTTAGCGACCATTTGAAGTTATAACAGCACTGAGTTAGTGACTTACGGCTGTTTTTCTCACTTACGACGGTTACAGTGTCCCGGGGGCCACGTGATCCCCCTTTTGCGACTCTATATGACAAGCCACGTCAATGGGGAAGCCAGACTCATTTAACAACGGTGACAAGGAAGGCCGTAAAACGGGCATAAAACTCACTTAACAACCGTCTCGCTTAGCAACAGAAATGTTGGGCTCGATTGTGGTCGTAAAGTCGAGGACTACCTGAATTCTAGGCAGAACGTAATAAAGTAGTTAGCTCGAATTCTGCACGCGCGGGTTCCTGTTTGTTCGCACCTGACAACACACCCCAAAATGATCAGTCTCACCAGGCTCAAGCAGCTGTGTGAAATGAGAAAACTGAACAGTAAACTGTGATTTATCCTGAGGCAAAAAAAAATTTTTAAAATGCTCTCAACTTGTCAGTTGATTCTCTCAGTTTTTTCCTTGCGAAAAGCTGTGAACGTGAATCTGGATTTAAGATGGCATTTTCTATTATCGGCTTTCCTTCCCCGTCTGATTCTTTTCCCATTTTCTCTTCACAGCCTTGGCCAACTCTGTTGAAGAACTGGACTTATCTAGCAGTAACACACCCAGGTTACATGGCGTTCCTCACTTACGACGAGGTGAAGGCGCGGCTGCAGGCATATGTCAACAAACCGGGCAGGTAAACTCTCTAGGGATTGTATTAATCTGGGGAGGGGGGGGTTGGATCTCAAAAGAACTGCTCTCTCAGGCCTCCGCTAGTTGATCTTATAATAAACTTTAATACAATATTTTTTAACAAATCATTTTTTCCTGGAAGCGCTGTAAAACTGCATACATATTGTTAGAAGTAGTTCTCGCTTAACGATGGTCATTGGGAACTCCAATTTCCATCGTTAAGCGGAACGTCATATAGCCACGCTGCTTAGCGACAGGAGTTCCAGCAGCCCCTAATTACTATCATTAAGCAAATCACTGTGGGTCGGTATGCGAGGACCTCATGCGATCAGAAGGTTCGATTTCCCACCGGCTTCCCCATTGACATCGTGGGAAGCCGGCAGGGAAGGTTGCAAATTGTGATCACATGACCACCTTGCCTGAGGAATTCTGGGAGTTGGAGTCTAGACATCTTAAAGGGGCCACGTTTGAGAACCACAAATTCTGCAGGAAGTTTGTCTTTTCCTAGCTTAACCTCTGCCCCCCACTCGGGTTCAAACTAGCTTGCTTGCAAAGCGTTCTCCGTAGCCATAACTCTCCCTGCCACCCCAATTTTGGATTTAAATTCTTGCTGTCTTTCTCCCACAGCTACATTTTCCGGCTCAGTTGCACCCGGTTGGGCCAGTGGGCGATCGGCTACGTGACGGCAGATAGAAGCATCTTGCAAACCATCCCACAGAACAAGTCCCTGTTCCAGGCCTTGGTGGATGGACACAAGGAAGGCTTGTGAGTATCAGAGACGCAAGTGGGCGTAAGAGGATTATCCTTGATCAGAAATCCATAACAGATCCATAACATAAGGGGCTCCCACCCTCTGGAATCAGTTGCCCCCTGAGATAAGGAGAATCCATGACCTCAGTGCCTTCCGCCGTGCCCTTAAAACCTTCCTTTTCCAACAAGCCGGGCTGGCCTAATTCTTTTTAAGTGTTTTTAATTGTTTGGTTTATTGTTTTAATTAATGGGGCCAAATTTATATATATTTTTTAACTGTATTTTAATATTTGTATCTGATGTTTTTATTTGGCTGTTCACCGCCCTGAGTCCTCAGGGAGAAGGGCGGTATACAAATTCAATAAATAAATAAATAAATAAATAAATAAATAAATAATATCTTTCCTCTGGATCAACCAATGACACAACAGAATGGGCAAGCTGTCAAAATCTCCGGAACGAAGACTTTGAGTTGATCCAAATTTGGATTTATGAAATAATGTAGCTCTGGAGTTCTACCGTGTTTCCCCAAAAATAAGACATCCCCTGATAATAAGCCCAATCGGGCTTTTGAGTGGATGTGCTAAAATAACACACACACCCAAAATAAACTCCCTGAAAATAAGCCCTCCCCAAAAATATTTAAATGCTTGCGCAGCTGGTCCTGGCCATTTCCTCTGGTTAGGGTTAGGGAGACAGAGCTGGAAATCAGGTAAGACAGCAAGAGGAGCCCCATCTTGCTCCACGCACCCCAAAATAATAAGATCTCCCTGAAAATAAGGCGGAGCGCTTATTTCAGGGTTCAAAAAAATATAAGACAGGGTCTTATTTTCGTGGAAACACGGTATTTATTTATTTATTAGATTTTTATTCCCGCCTTCATAACTTCATAAGTAATTCAAGGTGGCAAATACACCTAATACAGGTAGTCCTTGACTTACAACTGCTCATTTAGTGACCGTTCAAAGTTAAAACGGCACTGAAAAAAAGGGACTTCTGAGCATTTTTCATACTTACGACCGTTGCAGCCCAAAGTCACATGATTAAAATTCAGACACTTGGCAACGGATTCATATTTATGACCTGTTGCAATGTCCCGGGGTCATTTGATCCCTTTTCCAGACCGTCTGATAAACACAAACTCAATTGGGAAGCCGGATTCACTTAACAAGTGTCACTAACTTAACAACCTCAGTGATTCACTTAATAACTGTGACAAGAAAGGTCGTAAAATAGGACAAAATTCACTTAACATAGGTCTCACTTAGCAACAGAAATGTTGGGCTCAATTGTGGTCTTAAGTCAAGGGGTACCTGTACTCCTTCCTCCTCCTATTTTCCCCACAACAACAGCCCTGTGAGGTGAGCTGGGCTGAGAGAGAGGGGGGGGGGACTGGCCCAAAGGCAGCCAACTAGGAATTCTGGGAGTTGAAGTCCACACACCTTAAAGTCGAGAAACAGTGGTTTAAAAGGTGCCTCTGTCTTGTAGCTACCTGTATCCGGATGGGAAAAACGTGAATCCGGATCTGGCAGAATTGATGGAAGGCTCTGCTCGAAACCGAATTCAGGTCTCCCAGGTAAGTTAGTCCTTACAGGCCTGCAGGTGTTGGGTATATAGAGGTGTTAAGGCTGGAAGAGCTATAGGCCGCACACTCTTAGGAATTGTTCATGCCATAACCCTCAGTCGTTTTCCAGTAGATGATAGTAGTAGATATAAAAATATAGATAGATAACGGAAAGATGACATGGATGGATGGATGGATGGATGGATGGATGGATGGATGGACGGACGGAGATAGATAGATGATGGATGGATGGATGGATGGATGGATGGATGGATGGATGGATGGATGGATGGATGGATGGATGATGGATGGATGGATGGATGGATGGATGGATGGATGGATGGACGGATGGAGATAGATAGATGATAGATGATTGCTAGATGATAGATGATAGATGATAGATGGATGGATGGATCGAGATAGATAGATGATGGATGGATGGATGGGATAGATAGGTGATGATGGATGGATGGATAGATGATAGATGATAGATGGATGGATGGATGGACGGATGGAGATAGATGATAGATGATTGCTAGATGATAGATGAGATGATAGATGATAGATGGATGGATGGATGGATGGATGGATGGATAGATAGATAGATAGATAGATGAATAGATGAATAGATAGATGATAGATGGATGGATGATGGATGGATGGGTGTGGTGGGTGGATGGGTGGGTGGGCGGCGGGCAGAGAGAGATAGACCGACAGAAAGAGAAGAGGAAAGAAAAGAAAGCAAAGAGAAGAGAAGAGGAATAGAAGTGGAGAAGAGAAAGGAAAGAGAGAAGAGAACACAGGGGAAAGGGAAGAAAAGAGAAAGGGAAGAGAAGAGGAGGAGACAAACAGGGAAAGAGAAGAGAGAAGATAACAGAAGGGGAAAAGGAAGACAAGAGAAGAGAAAGGGAAGTGAGAAAAGAACACAGTGGAAAGAGAAGAGAAAGGGAAGAGGGAAGACAACAAAGGGGAGAGAGGAGAGGAAGAGAACAATAGAAGCAGGACAGTAGTGTTTTTAAAATTTCTCATTCTCGCTTCAGTGGCACCTCGGTACTCAACTGCTTTGAAACTCACCCAATTTGGTACTCAACACATTTTGACATGAACATTTTGTCCCATCATTTGTTTAGTACTCGACGCAACAAGCTTGAACTTGTCAGTTGTCAGCTGCCTTGTGACTCACTACCTTCACTCACTATTCCTGATGGGAAAAATTTGTTTGGTAGTTCTTGCTCCTCCCGGAACCAATTAACAACGAGTACCCAGGTGCCACTGTATTTTGACTCCGCTTTCACACCTCTGCCTGTCCCTTCTTCCTCTGCAGGAACAGTTCGAGCTCTACAGCCAGGTGGAATCCACCTTCCAGCTTTGCAAAATCTGCGCCGAGAACAATAAGGATGTTCAGATCCGGCCGTGCGGTCATCTTCTCTGCCGGGAATGCCTTAAGTCATGGCAGGTGATTTCCTTCCCCTCCCTTTCTGGGGGTTTTTTTTTCCTTCATTGTTTTTAATTCAAAATGTTTTTATTAAGAGGATGACACGAAATATAAAATACAAATAAGAGAAAGGTTGTAGGGAAAGGCTGGGGGGGAGGGGGCTAAGAGAAAGCGAGGGATGAAGAGAACGAAGAGAACGAAGCATTGAGTTCCAACTTTTTTCAGTGCCGTCAAATGCTAGTAGTCCTCGACTCAACGACCATTCCATTTAGCGACCGATCAAAGTTACAACAGTGCTGGTAAAAAGTAACTTGTGTTTTTTCAAATTTAGGAAGCATCTAAGTGAGTGTTTCTCAACCTTGGCCGCTGGACAATGTGTGGACTTCAACTCCCAGGGTTGTGCTTGACCTTGCGGGGGGGGCGGGGTGGACATGGCCAGCTCAATGTTACTTGTGTCGGGGGGCACCTGTGGTGGCCAAGTGGTAAGACACGACTTCCCTGGGAACCTCTCTCACTCTCATTATAATCTCCTTCCTTCCTTCCTTCCTTCCTTCCTTCCTTCCTTCCTTCCTTCCTTCCTTCCTTCCTTCCTTCCTTCCTTCCTTCCTTCTTCTTTTTCCTTCCCTCTTCCTTCTCCTTTCTTCTTCCTTCCCTTCCTTTTCTTCTTTTTCCTTCCCTCTTCATTCTCCTTTCTTCTTCCTTCCTTCCCTTCCTTTTCCTTTCCTCTTCCTTCTCCTTTCTTCTTCCTTCCTTCCTTTTCTTCTTTTTCCATCTCTTTTCCTTCTCCTTTCTTCTTCCTTCTTCCTTCCCTCTTCCTTCTCCTTTCTTCTTCCTTCCTTCCTTCCCTTCTTTTTCCTTCCCTCTTCATTCTCCTTTCTTCTTCCTTCCTTCCTTCCCTTTCCTTCCCTCTTCCTTCCCCTTTCTTCTTCCTTCCTTCCCTTCTTTTTCCTTCCCTCTTCCTTCTCCTTTCTTCTTCCTTCCTTCCTTCCCTTCTTTTTCCTTCCCTCTTCATTCTCCTTTCTTCTTCCTTCCTTCCTTCCCTTTCCTTCCCTCTTCCTTCCCCTTTCTTCTTCCTTCCTTCCCTTCTTTTTCCTTCCCTCTTCCTTCTCCTTTCTTCTTCCTTCCTTCCTTCCCTTCTTTTTCCTTCCCTTGCATGCTCAAATGCAAAAGGAAGGGAAAGAGCTGTTTTCGGCTTCCTGCAGCCCTCTGCCACCGGAAATCTAAGCGTTTGACACCCCTGTTCGTACCTGACACTGGGCGAACCTTATTCCTTGAGTCCTGGGGGGGGATAAATCCTAACGTGACCCTCTCTGCTTCTTGACAGCTTTCAAAATCCCCCACCTGCCCCTTCTGTCGCCAGACGATCTGGGGCCATGAAGATGTCGAAGTCAGCCCCTACAGCTCCAAGGAGGGCAGCCCTACAACCAAGGACGAGAGCGACGAAGGGGACCTGGAGGATGTGGACATGGTGTTGCAACAGCTGATGCTCATGCGCCAGACCCAGGGGGTCAGTGTGAGATGAGAGGGGGCCTCCTTTGATTTTGAGCATCACTATTGCACCCGGGGGCACTGAGGGAAGAGGTGGGTGGGGCTTAAAAGGTGGCAGCTAGGACCAGGGCATTGAAACCCCGCCCCTTTTAAGATGCGTGTTGCGTAAGAGCAGCCAGGTAACCTACGACGGAGCCTGAATGCATTTTCGCCAGGGCCATTCTTTGATATTTTTAATCCCATCCTAAATTGCAACCTCCTCAACACGTCGGTTTCCTTTTTTCTAAATTTAATTAGTGTATATCCCGTTTTTATTATTTTTTATAAATAACTCAAGACACGGAACTTAGATAATACTCCTTCCTTCGCCTGTTTTTCCTCACAACAGCCAACCTGTGAGGTGGATTGGGCTGAGAAAGAGGAACCGGCCCAAATTCTCCCATGTTCATGGCTAAGGTGGGACTAGAACTCAGAGTCTCCTGGTGATTGGCCCAGAGTCAGTCACTCAGCCAGCTTTCGTGCCTAAGGCAACACTAGAACTCTCCGTCACCTGGTGATTGGCTCAAAGTCACCCAGCCATCTTTCGTGCCTAAGGCGGCACTAGAACTCTCCATCACCTGGTCATTAACCTAAAGTAACCCAGCCAGCTTTTGTGCCTAAGGCAACACTAGAACTCTCTGTCACCTGGTGATTGACTCAAAGTCACCCAGCCATCTTTCATGCCTAAGGCGGCACTAGAGCTCTCAGTCACCTGGTAATTAGTCTAAAATCACCCAGCCAGCTTTCGTGCCTAAGGCAGCACTAGAACTCTCCATCACCTGGTGATTAACCTAAAGTCACCCAGCCAGGTTTCGCGCCTAAGGCGGCACTAGAACTCACCATCTCCCAGTTTCTACCCTGGTGCTTTAACCACTACCGTGTTTCCCTGAAAATAAGACCCTGTCTTATATTTTTTTTTGAACCCTGAAATAAGCGCTTGGCCTTATTGCCATACGCTCAAAAGCCCGATTGGGCTTATTATCAGGGGGATGTCTTATTTTGGGGGAAACAGGGTACACCAACCTGGGTTTTTTTTCCCGCCCCTGTCAGTTTTTTTTCTCTGTGGAAATGGGGGTCCCCATCAGGCAACTGAAGAGGTGGCAAAATTACTGAAATTACTGTCCGGAATGCAAGGCCTCGACCCATCCGAACATTTCTCCTGCTTTGCGTGGATTGTGAAGTGCGACAGATTGCTTTCCCCCTCAGGATGTTAAATAAACGGGGAGAAAGGAATTGACTCTGTTCTTTCTCCCTCTTCTGCTCCAGAGAGAGGCTCCCGTTTCATCTCCCAATCTGGACCCTGTGTTGCAAACCCCTCCAGTACCCCCAAGATTAGATCTCCTGCCGCAGAGACCCCCGGCTCTTCCTCTTCCAGACTATCAAGTAAGTGAAATCCTCAACTTAACAACAGTTCATTTAGTGTCCAAAGTCACAACAGCACTGGATAGCTCAGCAGACTAATGCATTGTAATTTAACTCCAGCTGTCTGCAATTAGTAAGTTCGAATCTCGCCAAGGCTCAAGGTTGACTCAGCCTTCGATCCTTTCTAAGGGAGGTGAAATGAGGACCCAGTTTGTGGGGGCAATAAGCTGACTTTGTATAAATATACAAAAGGATGAAGGCTATTGCTGAGCACATTGTAAGCCGCCCTGAGTCTCCGGAGAAGGGCGGCATATAAATAAAAAAAAAACCGCTTTTCCCGCTTATAATCGTCACAGCCTCCCTGTGGTCCTCTGATCAAAATTCAAACGCTGGGCAACCGATTCATATTTATGACGGTTGCGGTATCCCGGAGTCACGTGATCTCCTTTTACGACCTTCTGACAAGCCATGGGGAAGCCAGATTCACTTAACAACCGTGTTAAACTTGGCTTAACCACTGCAGTCCTTCCCATTAACAACTTGTTGTGGCCTCTTGGCCACTGGCCCCTCCAGCAGCCGAATCAGAGGACGAGGAGGAGGCGTGGGAGTCAGGGTCAGCATGAGAGCTCCGAGGGGGAAGAGGGAATGGAAGGGGCAGAGAGAGAGACAGAGGTGGAGCCTGGGCCGTCCATCAGCCCTCAGATGGCGAGTCAACAGCTGCCAGGTCTGGAGGTGGCTGAGGAGGAAGAGGAGGAACAGCTGGGTCCAGTGCCTGACGCACGGATGCGCAGAAGGCAGAGGAGAGGAAAGCAGTGGAAATCTATGGGCTGGTCCTCAGGACGGAAGAGCCACTGCTGCTAGGGAAGCCCCACCCTAGCTCTGGGGATAAAAGGCAGTGGACGGAGATGAATAGATGTGGCAGACAACGATTCATCTCCCTGCCGGATAGTCTGTGTTGTTAGTCTGTGTTTAGAGAGAATTTTTTTTTGCCGGGGCTGCTGGAGCTCCTAATAAAGGAATCATTGATTTAAATACAGAAGGTTTGTTGTATTTGGGGAGCTGGATCAGAACACAACTGTGGCAAGCAAGGTCATAAAAATGGAACCAGAATCACTTAGCAAGTGTCTTGTTTAGGAACAGAAATGTTGGGCTCAATTGTGGTCGTAAGCCGAGGACTACCTGTATTTTGTCATGGGAATAGGACTGCTGGGTGCATAAGACGTCGATGCCAGTTATCTCCTCACCACCCCAACCCATTCCTTCTGCTGCCCATTTAGACCGTCTCTTCTTCGGCCCACTGGATCAGGGATCGCCCCTTGCCAAGCCTTCCTCAAGAACACTCTCCGTCCGTCACTGCATGGAACACCTCCGCAGCTTCTCCATTTGAGGAGAAGGGACAGGAATCCCAGCGATGAGTTGCTTGCAGGCAATCCGGGAGCAGGTAAAATAGACGTTGATCTAGATCATGGGGTCTCCAGACGTGGCAACTTTAAATAGGATAGGATAGGATAGGATAGGATAGGATAGGATAGGATAGGATAGGATAGGATAGGATAGGATAGGATAGGATAGGATAGGATAAGGATAAGGATAAGGATAAGGATAAGGATAAGGATAAAACAATAATAAGAATAGAATAGAGTAGAGTAGAGTAGAGTAGAATAGAATAGAATAGAATAGAATAGAATAGAATAGAATAGAATAGAATGAAGAATTAGAGTGGAATAGAATAGAATAGAATAGAATAGAATAGAATAGAATAGAATAGAATAGAATAGAATAGAATAGAATAGAATAGAATAGAATAGAATACTTTATTGGCCAAGTGTGATTGGACACACAAGGAATTTGTCTTTGGTGCACAAGCTCTCGGTGTACATAAAAGCTATAAGAGATATATCATGACCATAGTCATCATAAAAATACATTCATCATAAATCCTAAGATACAGCGCTTAGTGTTAGTCATAGATACTAAATAAGCAATCAACATAAATCAAACTAGGAAACTAAATAAAACAATATAAATCTCCATTCCCAACCCACTCTGGGGCCAGCCAGTATTTGCCAGTTCTCTGCTTAAAATTTCCGCTACCGGTTCTCCAGAACCTGTCAGAACCTGCTGGATTTCACCCCTTCCCCCAAATGAGATATCTTCTAACCAGGGGGGGAGGGGTTCAAATTTTTTTACTACCAGTTCTGTGGGTGTGGCTCGGTGGGCATGGCTTGGTGGGCGTGGCAGGGAAAGGATACTGTAAAATCCCCATTCCCTCCCCACTCCAGGGGAAGGTTACTGCAAAATCCCCATTTCCTCTCGATCAGCTGGGACTTGGGAGGCAGAGAATAGATGGGGGCGGGGCCAGTCAGAATTTTTACTACCGGTTCTCCGAACTACTCAACATTTCCGCTACCGGTTGTCCAGAACTGGTCCGAACCTGCTGAAACCCACCTCTGCTTCTAACTTCTATACAGCTACAGTAAATCCATCTCTATCTTCCTGAGTGGTGCATTAGTAAGACCGCACCTAGAATACTGCATCCAGTTTTGGTCTATAAAACTATAAAACTATAGAGCCTTGGTAGTACAGTGGTCTAAAGCACCCTGTTATTAAGACCAGCTGCTTGCAATTACTGCAGGTTCGAATCTCGCCAGGCTCAAGGTTGACTCAGCCTTCCATCCTTTCTAAGGTAGGTAAAATGAGGACCCGGATTGTGGGGGCAATAAACTGACTTTGTATAAATATACAAAAGGATGAAGGCTATTGCTTAGCGCACTGTAAGCCGCCCTGAGTCTCCGGAGAAGGGCGGCATATAAATCAAATTTTAAAAAAAACTATAAAACACTATAAAAAAAAGATGTTGAGACTCTAGAAAAAGTGCAGAGAAGAGCGACGAAGATGATTAGGGGACTGCAGACTAAAACATACAATGAACGGTTGCAGGAACTGGGCCTGGCTAGTCTAGGGAAGAGAAGGACCAGGGGAGGCATCTTCCAATATTTGAGGGGCTGCCACAGAGAGGAGGGGGTCAAGCTATTTTCCAAAGCACCCGAAGGCCAGACAAGGAATAACGGATGGAAACTGAACAAGGAGAGATTCAACCTGGAAATAAGGAGAACAGTCAACCCATGGAACAGAAGTTGCCTTTGGAAGTTGTGGGAGTTTCATCACTGGAGGCTTTCAAGAAGAGATTGGACTGCCATTTGTCAGAAATGATTTCCAGCTTGGGTGAGGGGGGGGGGTTGGACTAATAGATCTACAAGATCCTTTCCAACTTAAATCTGTAATTTTGTCCTCTTCTAGGGTCGTATCTGATCTGCGCTGTCCGATTGGTGGAATCGAGTCTGGGAGAGCCAGCTAACGGTGTCCTTCCACACGGCCAAATGAAGGAGAAGTTGGTTTACTCACAGTTCTGATGTTTCACCCAGCTTGACTTCCGACAGAAGGAAATCAGCCGAGCAAAATCTAATGCTTTTGGAAGGATGATCTGGATGTTTTTAGGAATGTTTTACAAAACATGTGCCTTTTCCTGGATGAACTACCATGATTCTATTATTCTATCCGGAACTTCGCAAGCATTGCTATCACTAAACATCTAAAGAATCACATTTCCCTGTTTTGGGAAAAAGAGGATATATCGGACAGTAACTACATCATCACCGTTCGTGCCTTATAACAATAGTTCTCGACCCTTTTTTCACCACGAAACCCCTTCAAATATCTTTTGTGGCCACGGACCATGGCCACGGACCCTCAAGACTTAAGATTTAAATCATAATATTTCTTCAAGCCCTGTGACGACATCGTATGCCGTGGTGGTGCAGTGGTTACGCATTGCAGGCTAACTCTGCCGATCGCCAGCAGTTCGATCCTGACTGGCTCAAGGTTAACTCAGCCGTCCATCCTTCCGAAGTCGCTAAAATGAGGACCCAGGTTGTTGGAGGCAATGTGATGATGCTATAAACTGCTTATGAAGTGATATATAAATCTATTGCTCTTCCCTTCTCCTTCCTTCCTCCCTCCCTTCCTTCCTTCCTCCCTCCCTCCCTCCCATTATTCCATGGTGCACAGTGGTTAGAATGCAGCATTGCAGGCTAATTCTGCCATCTGCCAGCAGTTTGATCCTGACCGGTTCAAGGTCGACTCAGCCTTCTGTCCTTCCGAGGTGGGTAAAATGAGGACCCAGATTGCTGGGGGTAATATGCTGACTCTGTAAACTGCTTAAAGAGGGCTGTAAAGCACTGTGAAGCGGTATATAAGTCTAGGGGCTATTGCTATTGTCCCGCAGGGCTCTGCAGATCACAGATTGAGGAAACATCGCATTACAGCGTAGTCACCTTATTCATTTTGGAAAGAGGGTTGACTTTTCTAATTTATTTCTCTCTAGGAAGATGTACACTTCTTTTTCAGCAGGAGAAGCATCAGCGTTTTCTGTTCAAAACCTTAAATCCAGAGGAGAAAGCAGGACTTTTAGAATTAAACTTATAAGTTGACTAGTCTTTTTTTTTTGTATCTGGATACTGTCTCTATCCATTTCCTGGGTTGAATGGATAAAATGGTGAAGCTGTCCACTAGGTGGCGCTGGTGTCTCAGGAGAAAAATATGTGGATTTAGGTCAAACTCGTAAAAATAGGTACTCGATTCTCTTTGGGGATTTTTAATTATATTTTTTCTTAGGTACAGATGTGGGTGCGATCAGTTGTTTATTTATTTGTATCCCGCTTTATTATTTTTGCTTTATTATTTTTACAAAAGGTTCAAAGTGGCAAACATCGGCCCGATTTTCCTACGTTTTCCTCCTATTTTCCTTCTATTTTAACCACTTTCTTAACTGAAACAAACTTCTTGGATGAGAAGTAAAATATTTTCAAAGAAAAAGCCAAGAAAGTCCAGCTGCTTTTTGGGGAAGGGGAAAAAAAAACACAGCACCTTTTGGACAAGAAAGGATGGAAGGCTGAGTCAACCTTGAGCCTGGGGAGATTCGAACTTGCAGTAATTGCAGACCGCTGGTGTTAATCACAATGCTATTAGTCTGCTAAGCCACCAGGCCCTTCTTTCCCTCTCCACTGCTCATCCCCCCTTACTTGCCTGCTTAGCAAGGATATTGATCCGTCTCTCCTGGGTGGAAAGTCCGTTGGCTGCAGATGCTTTGCTGAGATCAGCTCCTATTCCAGGAACCTCCATCAATGCAATGGGATGGGTTGGGTTGCAGAAGACATGAGAAGGGTGGGGTGAGGGCTGAGGTGGGGGAAAGGAAATAGGAGACCCCCACAAGGACTTGGCCAGTGGTGGGATTCAGCCAGTTCGCACCACTTCGGGAGAACCGGTTGTTAACTTTCTGAGCAGTTTGGTGAACTGGTTGTTGGAAGAAATCATTAGGGCAGAGAACCGGTTGTTAAATTACTTGAATCCCACCACTGGGCTTGGCCCAGAGAGACATTGGGAAATCCACAGTCCCCGAGTCCCTTCTCAGGAATGGCCTCTACAGGTAGTCCTCAATTTATAACCATTTGTTTAGCGACCGTTTGAAGTTACAATAGCACTGAAGAAAGTGACTGGCCCAAAGTCACCCAGTCAGCTTACATGCCTAAGTCGGGAACTCTCGGTCTCCTGGTGATTGGCCCCAAATCCCCCAGATGACTTTAGTTCCTAAGGTGGGACTAGAACTCACAAGCTCCTGGTGATTGGCCCAAAGTCACCCAGTCGTCTGTCATGCTTAAGATGGGACTAGAACTCACGAGCTCCTGGTGATTGGCCCAAAGTCACCCAGTCGTCTGTCATGCTTAAGATGGGACTAGAACTCACGAGCTCCTGGTGATTGGCCCAAAGTCACCCAGTCGTCTGTCATGCTTAAGATGGGACTAGAACTCACGAGCTCCTGGTAATTGGCCCAAAGTCACCCAGTCAGGTTTCGTGCTTAAGACGTGACTAGAACTCTCCAGCTCCTGGTGATTGGCCCAAAGTCACCCAACCGGCTTTCATGCCTAAGGTTGGACTAGAATTCACTATCTCCTGGTTTCTAAGCCAGCATCTTCACCGTTGGACCAAACTATTACAGGTAGTCCTCAAGTTACGACCAAAATTTCTGTTGCTAAGTGAGACAGTTGTGGATTTCCCACCCCACCCCATCTTCATGACCTTTCTTGCCACAGTTGTTAAGTGAATAAGGCTAAGTTATATGATGAACGATTGAAGGAACTAGGTATGACTGGTCCAATGAAAAGAAGGACCAGGGGTGACATGATGGCAGTCTTCCGATATTTGAGGGGCTGCCCCAAAGAAGAGGGGGGGGGTCAACCTATTCTCCAAAGCACCAGAGGGCAGGACAAGAAGCAATGGATGGAAACTGATCAAGGAGAGAAGCAACCTAGAATGAAGGAGAAATTGCCTGACAGTGAGAACAATTAACCTGTGGAACTGCTTGCCTCCAGAGGTTGTGAATGCTCCAATAAAAGAGGTTTTTAAGAAGAGATTGGACAGCCATTTGTCCGAAGCAGTATAAGGTCTCCTGCCTTGGTCAAGCGGTTGGACTAGAAGACCTCCCAAGGTCCCTTCCCACCCTCTTATTTTATGTCCTATGTACTTGTTCCAACAAGAGCAATCTTGCTTTGGAGTCCCCCTCCTCTCGCCTCTCTTTCCCCAAGCCATTCTACTATCTCCATTTGCTCCCTGTGAGTATCGTTGATTTGCACAGGCATTTTGCTCTCTGGAGGACAGTCAACTTGGATGAGCGAGCTACTATAAATAAACTTCCTTTTTTCTTTTTTTTAAATTTGTTTGGGGATACGCAAGTCCCAGCTGTCCTGTGTGACTTGTAAGTATCTTGTTTCCCCTGCAGTTCAAGAGGTAGGAACGTGTCGTGGGATGTACAACCTACCTTCGCGGCTGATTTCTTCCACCTTCACGGACATTCATATCAAAAAAAGTCAAAATGGCAGCCGGGATTATGCACAACTCTTGCCGATCTGCAACACAGTGGCTTAAAAGAATCACAGGAGTTGGAAGGGGCCTTAGAGGTCCTCTAGTCCAGCCCTCTGCTCAAGCAGGAGACCCTATTCCATTTCAGACAAGTGACCGTCCAGTCTCTTCTTAAAAGCATCCAGTAATGGAGCACCCGCAAGAGGCAAGCGTGGTTAATTGGAGGCAAGCGTGGTTAATTGTTCTCACCGTTAGGAAATTCCTCCTTAGTTCTAGGTTGCTTCTCTCCTTGATTCGTTTCCATCCGTCGTTTCTTGTTTCATCTTCAGATGCTTTGGAGAATAGGTTGGAAACCCCCCCCCTCCCCACTTTTTTTGTGGCAGCCCCTCAAATATTGGAAGACTGCTATCATTTCATCCCTAGTCCTTCTGGAGGCTAAAACATATGAAGAACGGTTGCAGGAACTGGGTATGTCTCGTCTGATGAAAAGAAGGACCAGGGGAGACACGAGAGCAGTCTTCCGATATCTCAGGGGCTGCCCCAAAGAAGAGGGAGTCAAGCTATTCTCCAAAGCACCTGAGGGCAGGACAAGAAGCAACGGGTGGAAACTAATCAAGGAGAGAAGCAACCTAGAACGAAGGAGAAATTTCCTGACAGTGAGAACAATTAATCAGTGGAACGACTTGCCACCAGAAGTTGTGAATGCTGCAACACTGGAAGTTTTAAAGAAGAGATTGGATAACCATTTGTCTGAAGTGGTGTAGGGTTTCCTGCCTGAGCAGGGGGTTGGACTAGAAGACCTCCAAGGTCCCCTCCAACTCTGCTATTCTATTCTATTCTATTCTATTCTATTCTATTCTATTCTATTCTATTCTATTCTATTCTATTCTATTCACCAGACTAGCCATGCCCAGTTCCTGCAACCGTTCTTCATATGTTTTAGCCTCCAGTCCCCTAATCATCTTTGTTCCTCTTCTCTGCACTCTTTCCAGAGTCTCAACATCTTCTTATGTAGTAATTTATATTGCATTTTACATGCCATCCCATGCATTAGAACCGCACGCGGTGCACGTGAACTGCAAGATTTAAAAAGGGTGAGGCTTTGACCACAGGATCGCAGCTGCCATTTTGACGTTTTTTGGGGACACGTTGCCCTGGCTCATCCTCGCATCCCGAGCCACGGCCCTTACCTGCGTCATTTGCAGCTAGTCCTCATTCCTGCGTGTTTCATGCGTCCCTGGGTTCCTTCAAATCTACGGTGGTGAGTGTAGACAATACCCACAACGCTATCTCGAATCTGCATTTTTAAAATATTTCAATATAGGGATGTATTTGCATGATTTATGAGGCCCACAAATCGCCACCCAGATCAGATAAATGTATGCACCGAAGGCATTTTTTTCTAGGGAAAGGAAAGACACTGTTTGCACAAAGGGAGCATGTCAGGAAAGATATATAGAAACATAAATATATTATAAATGTGCCAGTAAGTGCATGGGAATATCCGAGCACATTTCCGGTTCGGGATTGAAGGAGGGAGAGCCAAAGAACAGAGAAATAATTCTGACAAAAGAAAGTCAGTCTCTTCCATTAATCTAGATTGATCTCTGTCTCTCGCTCTGTGTGTGTCTTTCTCTCGCTTTCTCTGTCTCTCTTTCTCTCTCTCATTCTCCCTTTATTGTTCTTTCTTTTTCTTTCTCTCCTCGTCTTTCTCTGTCTCTTTTTCTTTTTCATTCTCTTCTTCCTTCTTTTTCTCTGTCTCTTTCTTTTGTCTTTCTCTTTCTTTTGTTCTTTCTCTTCTTCTTTCTTTCCCTCATTCTTTCTTGTTTTCTTTTTCTCTTTCTCTCCTTTCTTTCTTCCCCCTTTCTTTCTCTTCCTTCCTTCCTTTTGTCTTTTGTCTTTTTCTTGTTCTTTCTCTTATTCTTTCCCTCTCTTTCTCTTTCTCTGCCTCTTTCCCTCATTCTCCCTTTCTTGTTCTTTCTCTTTTTCTTCCTCTCCTCGTCATTCTTTCTTTTTCCCTCTTTTTCTCTGTCTTTCCCTCTGTGTCTCTTTTTCGTCTTTCTCTTTCCTTCATTTTCTCTTATTCTTTCTCTCTTTCCCTCATTCTTTCTTTTCTTTTTCTCTTTCTTCCCTCTTTCTGTCTTTCCCTTCCTTCTTTTCGTCTTTCTCTTTTTCTTGTTCTTTCTCTCATTGTTCTTCCTCTCTTTCTGTCTCTTCTTGTTCCCTCTTTCTGATTCTCGCTCTCTTTCTCTCTTCTCCTTCTCTCTCTCTCTGTTTCTGTGACTCTCTCTCTTTCTTGTTCCCTCTGTCTCATTGCTCTCTTTCTATTTCTCTTTCTTCTTCTCTTTCTCCTTCTCTCTCTCTCTCTTTCTTGTTCCCTCTTTCTGTCTCTTGCTCTCTATTTCTATTTCTCTTTCTCCTTCTCTCTTTCTCCTTCTCCTCTCTCTCTCTCTCTTTCTTGTTCCCTCTTTCTGTCTCTTGCTCTCTTTCTATTTTCTCTTTCTCCTTCTCTCTTTCTCCTTCTCTCTCTCTCTCTCTCTCTCTCTCAGTTTCTCTCTCTCTCTCTCTCTCTCTC